TTCACAGTGACTATCTCTGGGCCATTCACACTGTGATGTGCCCCTTGATGGGGGGACAATTTTTTTTCCTTCAATCTTTTAAATGTAGAATGAGATCAAAGAGAAAATCTTTTTCGAAAGCTCAGTGCTAATAAAGACGGGCGACGCGGGCGAGAACACCTCACCGGCTCCTCGCACTTACACACGCGCACGCCCCACGCTCCCGGGGCCCAGGTGTCCCGAGTCACAGGTGTCAGTGGCCACACCCATGTCCCTTGGGTGGTGTCGCTGCCACAGCCCAGGAGGGGGCGAGACCTCAGGTGCCGGCCATGCGGGGGGACGAAGCCTGACGTACCCCAGAGTCCCCGCAAGTATCTAGTGTCATATAAATGGACCGATATGGGGCTCTCCTCACAACCCCTGAGCTCATGCAGCACAACCTGCCTGGGGTTCCAGCTAACACACCCCAACAGCCAGGGTGAAGCAGCCGCCGGAGAACAGACCCGTCTCATCCGTGTTCGCGCCCTAGATCCTCTGGGCTCTGGACGTGAGCCCGGGGAGAGCAGACCCCCAGGTCCTACCTCCTCCCCCACCCGTGGGGCTGGCGCCGGCCCCTGCAGAGCTGCCGCAGGACCTGGACGGGGCTGAGGACAACGAAAAGAGAAGCAGAGGCAGGAGGACACGTGTGCGAGACACTGTCCCCCAAGGCCGCTGCGCCGGAACTCCGGGCGAGAAAGCAGCGGGCGAATCAAAACGTGGGAACGAGCGAAATAGAAGCCGCTGTGAAGACCCAACACGCGGGGCGCAGGGCGTGGGGAAGCTGCTGGGCCCGGAGGAGCCGAGGGCACCGCCAGGGACACCCGCGCAGTGACCGCGGCCTGCTCAGGCAGTGGCAGGGGGCAGCTCGGGCAGCCACGGCCGGGGGGTTCCCTGCTGCTCAGCAAGCTGACCACAGCCTGAGCCTGCCCGGCAGTGGCCAGCTGGGGACACCCCGCCCCGCAGGCCCGCACCCGGTGTCCCCGAGGCTGTCACCGCAGGGGCAGCTGGGGGGCCAGGCCGGGGGCCAGCTGGGGCTAGGGAGGCGCTTGGGGCAACGGGGCAGGGGCCTGGGGGCACGTGAGGGGCTCTGGGACGGGGCAGTGAGTTCCAGGCGGGCTGCCCGTGCTCCAGAGCCGCGCTGGACATCGCGGGGGGCGGGGGGGGGGGCTGGCGGGCAGGACAGCGAGTCCTGCGGGAAGAGGAGGCCCTGGCCGCGGACGCCGCGTTTCCAGGCCTGGACACGCCACAGCGCCCCCCGGGCCTCGCCGTGGACAGACCGTCCCCGCCCCCCACTGACCGCGCCGCGCCCCCACTGACCAGAGCGGCGACGGCTCCTTCTCCAGCTTCGTGAGCGGGACGCGGCGGCCGGCGAGGGGACAGGACGCGGCGGCCGGGCGAGGGGGCAGGACGCGGCGGCCGGGCTCCTGGCGGCCGAGGGCGGCCGGCGCCGGGTCGCGTCCAGGGCGGGCCCGCGGGACGAGGCCGAGGGCGGGGCGAGCCCCGGCCCCGCAGCGCGGACGGCCAGTCCAGGAGGCGGGTGGCGGCGAGCGGGGGTGGCCGCCCTCTGGCCCGGGGGACCCGGAGCCGGCGCCCGCCCTCGGGGTAAGCCCCGGCGCCCCAGCAGTGGCCGGGCAGGAGTGGCCGCCGCGCCGCCGGCCAGGCTGGACGTGGGCGCCGCCCGGGCTCTGCCCGCCGCTCCCGGAGCTGCCCGCGAGGTTGGGCGGCCTGGACGGCGCGGCGCTGGGACAGCGCGGGGGACAGCGCGGCCCGGGGGAGGGGGGGGCCGCCCAGTGGGCTCGCGGCGGGGGCGGGAGCGCGTGGACGGCCAGGCCCGGCTCCTACCCGCCCGCTCCTCCCCTCCTGGCTCCTCCCGCCCGCTCCTCCCCGCCTGGCTCCTCCCGCCCGCTCCTCCCCACCTGACTCCTCCCGCCCGCTCCTCCCCGCTCGGCTCCTCCCGCCCGCTCCTCCCCGCCCGGCTCCTCCCGCCCGCTCCTCCCCGCCCGGCTCCTCCCGCCCGCTCCTCCCCGCCCGGCTCCTCCCGCCCGCTCCTCCCGCCCGGCTCCTCCCGCCCGCTCCTCCCCGCCCGGCTCCTCCCGCCCGCTCCTCCCCGCCCGGCTAATCCCGCCCGCTCCTCCCCGCCCGGCTCCTCCCGCCCGCTCCTCCCCGCCCGGCTCCTCCCGCCCGCTCCTCCCCGCCCGACTCCTCCCGCCCGCTCCTCCCCGCCCGGCTCCTCCCGCCCGCTCCTCCCGCCGGCTCCTCCCGCCCGCTCCTCCCCGCCTGGCTCCTCCCGCCCGCTCCTCTCCGCCCGGCTCCTCCCGCCCGCTCCTCCCCTCCCGGCTCCTCCCGCCCGCTCCTCCCCGCCCGACTAATCCCGCCCGCTCCTCCCCGCCCGCTCCTCCCGCCCGCTCCTCCCCCCGGCTCCTCCCGCCCGCTCCTCCCCCCGACTAATCCCGCCCGCTCCTCCCCGCCCGGCTCCTCCCGCCCGCTCCTCCCCCCGGCTCCTCCCGCCCGCTCCTCCCGCCCGACTAATCCCGCCCGCTCCTCCCCGCCCGGCTCCTCCCGCCCGCTCCTCCCGCCCGGCTCCTCCCGCCCGCTCCTCCCCTCCCGACTCCTCCCGCCCGCTCCTCCCCGCCTGGCTCCTCCCGCCCGCTCCTCTCCGCCTGGCTCCTCCCGCCCGCTCCTCCCGCCTGGCTCCTCCCGCCCGCTCCTCCCCGCCCGGCTCCTCCCGCCCGCTCCTCCCCCCGCTCCTCCCGCCCGCTCCTCCCCGCCTGGCTCCTCCCGCCCGCTCCTCCCCGCCCGGCTCCTCCCCGGCTCTGCGGGCGTCCAGCACCGGAGCTGAGTCCCGGGACGGGGTCTGGTCAGGGGATTCCCCTTAATAAACTTCTGTCCCTTCACCTTTGGTGACAGCGCGTTTCCTAGGGTGCCGTGGCGGGGTGTGGGGTGTGTGTGGGGGAGTGTGGGGTGTGTGGGGGGTGTGTGGGGGGTGTGGGGTGTGGGGGGGGCATGGAGGGGGTGGGTGTGGGGTGTGACGTGGGGGGGGTGTTCTCCTTACTGCACCCCCACCACGGGGCCGGGGCGCGCCCCTGGGTCTCCGCGCCCGATGCGGGGTCATCGTGGGGTTTCCCGCGGGTCTCCCGAGAACGAGGCGCCCCCTGGTGGCGACCGCCGGGAGGCGCAGCTGCCGGGCGAGCCCCCCCCCGCCCCCCCACCCCGCCGCGCCCAGCCCGGCTCGTCCAGAGGCTCTTCGAGGCCCCTTTCTGGGAACCCCCCTCGCTGCCGCTGACGCCCGCCCTGGCCGCCTTCCGCACCCCCAGGTGCAGGGCGCGCACCCCGCCCCGCGCCGCCTCCCACCTCCCCGACCCCACCTGGACCCAGGCCAGCGCCGTCGGGCCGCGGGTGTCCGGCGTCGGGGCCGGCGCGGAGTCGCGGGTCCCGCCCGCCCCGTCCGCCCTCGGGCAGGGCCACCTCGCAGCCCGCGGGCGCGGCACGGGCTCCAGGGCCTCCGGGGCCGGCGGTGCTGCGGGTCCGAGCGGGCGGCCGCCGAGCGTCGAAGGACGCCGGGCTGGGGCGGGCCGGGTCCCCGCGATCCCCGCTGTCCGCGCAGGTGCGTGGGCAGGTGCGTGGGCACGTGGTCCCGCGTTGGTCCCGCGTTGAGCTCCTGGAGCGCACACCTGTGTGCCCGGCAGGTGTGCGTGCAGTGTGTGGACTGCGTGGTGTGCTGCGTGGATCCACGCGCGCGTGCGCGGTGGGCGTGTGCGCGGTGGGCGTGTGCGCGGTGGGCGTGTGCGCGTGTGCGCGGTGGGCGTGCGCGGTGGGCGTGCGCGGTGGGCGTGCGCGGTGGCTTCGAGGACCCCACTCTGCATCGCCCTGCCGCGTTCTCCGGGACGGCCCGTGTCTCGCTGCACTCCGGGGGGCCCTGCGCCTCACCACGAGTCCGGTGTTGACGGCAGAACCCCACGCAGAACCCCCAAAGCGGCGGGGCGGCGCTGGGCAAGCGCGCACTGAGGGCAGCAGGCCCGGGAAGCTTGGGGGGCCACGGAGCCCCCAGCCCTGCGGACCTTGTCCCCTTTCTCTGGCCCTCGTGGCGCTCAGCGTCCGCTCTCGCCCCCCAGGGCCCTCCTGCCCGTAGGCCCGTCCGGCGTGACGAGCCCTTCGGCCCCGGCCTCCCGCACAGGCGCGGCCCACGCACGCGCGCCCCCGAGCCCCGCGCGCCCCTCCCCAGCCACCATCGCAAGTGCGGCTGCACCCCACGCCCCCGCCCAGGGCGCGCTCGCCCACGGAAGGTGGGGAAATGCCTGAGTTTTTGTTTCATTTACCCCACAGGCGGACCCCACCTCCCACTGGCTCCCCCAGAGATGCCTGAGCAAACGTGCATCTGATCAGAATCTAAGTACCCCCAATTTCAGACGAGAAGAAGCGAGAGCCACAGTCTGAGGCTGTTCTCAGGGGCCCTGGGTTTAGGACTCTGGGGCTGGATTCTCACGGCCGCCTGTGCAAGCCTGTCATGATGGGGGCCTCGCCGGCACTTAGGCTCTGAATGATCTTTAATTTACAGCTCTAGCTGTAGTACTGGTGTGGACACTTCCTTTTGGAAATATGTAAACATTCATGTATTCAAATATTTTTGTCAGACGCAAGTTTACTCACATCTCCAGATTCTCCAGATAGCGCAGATATTATTGTCACATCCCGGCACATATGCCCTTATAATGTTTTACAATGATGCACCTCATTTTTCAAATGAAATTTAGTAATATGGAGAGACACTGAAAGAAAAATGATAGTGGACAACAATCAGAAAATGAGGCTAAACATGCTCGGGTATTCAGCTCAGCAACCCAAGGTAGCAGCTCCGGGGGCACCGCAGCCCACCTGCTCCCAGCGGGGAGCTCCCGATCCACTCATCTTTCCTTCTCAAGTATAATACCGCGAAGCCAAAGACATTGCAAAAATGTATTTAATTTTAACCAAAAAGCCAAAAGGATAAAAATCAAGAGTCTTAAACAAAGTTTAATAGCAGACACGAACTACAAATCATTTTCTGCTTTGAAAAAAAAAGACTAAGGAAAATGAACGTGGGCCAGGGTCACTCTCCCGTTTCCTGTAGAAACTAATACAATACATTGTGTAAGGAAGTAAACTCTTTCCACTTTCATGACATAAAGGAGAGACAAGCAGCACAGGGGATGTTATAGACACGGCAGGGATTCCCGCGAGGGCCACCACAGGCTCCACAGACGGAAAGCGAGGCCGCCGGCGGGCGCCGCGGGCTCTGCCACAAGCAGGTGGCCTGGGACATTTCAGGATGTCAAGAACCTGAATGAAGCCCCAACTTCTGTAAAGCCGCTCTCATGAGTACTTGCAAAGGCTGGAACTAGAATAGCAGCAGTTAAAAACGAAAGGACAGGAAATAAAGGGAAATGACATTATAACTGGTAGGAGAGACTTTTTTAAGGAAAGCAATTATCATTATTTCCAGTTCACGCTTCTAGGCTTGCATTGGAGTCACCCTACGTGAAAACTTTTTGAAGTGAGTGAAGTGAGCGATCGAATCTACATATAAGCAGAGATACGTGAGAGAATTAGCTCCCTTCTGTGGAAAAAATGTCTGGGCATCCAACAATATATAAAATTAGAGATAAAATTGCAAACTTAAACCAAAAAGACTTAAATATTATCTACCTCCTGCTTTCTCACCATCTAATATGATAAAGTTGAATTTAATTTACCTTTTATGGGCCAGATGCAAGATCCTGTAACTTTTTCACTTTTTTCCACATCATTAACTGAGAAAGGAGAAAGGTGTGTTTACCATAAAAACGTGGGATAAGTCCTGAGACTTCCCACAAGTATTTGAACGTCCTATGGGGGGGCCCTTGTCCTATGGGAACTGGTGGAATACCGTTTTTGAAGAAATGATTACTGTCCCTTTGAATCTTGTGCGTCCCCCAAAATGGGAAGCTGTGCCCGAACGGCTCAGCGCGGCGTGAGAGTGAGGAGGCTCCTCTGGCCGTTCCCCGCATGGACCCTATTTCTTGTAATTCACATGACACCCTTTGGCTGGGGTTGCCTGGTAAGTTTCCTGTTTTGGTCTTGTTTGAGCAAACCAAAACAAACAGCTCTCAGAAAAGGCTACGGTAATGACATTTTTTTTTTTCCTTTTGGTATTTCCAGTTAAATGTTTTCTCCTTAGAGGTACAGAGAAACGGAGGAAAATAGCCACAGATGAGGTGTAAGTAGGTCACAGCAGCTTCAGCGCACCAAAAAATGTGCCGTCTCCATCCTGAGATATTTTAGCACCTTCTCGTGGTATTGCGAGTTGGAGCTCATCTCCTTCTTCCAGCTTTGCGATGCCTGGAAAGGAGTGATGTAAAAACAAAAACAAAAAAACAACTGTAAGTGTTTGTACAAAGGGGGAAAAAAACTTAAATAAAACTTGGTTTTGGCAAAAATGTTAACACAGGCATTCACACTTCTAATTACACCAAAGGGCTCCTGAACTCGTTACTGTTCTTCAGAATGAAGGAAATAATTAAAGAAACACACAGGAGGAGTCACAAGAGATATAAATGCTTTCATCATCTACTTTTAAAAAAATGGAGACTCTAATAGGAAGCAATTGTCTAGGAGAAAAATACAGCACATGTCTTAATGGAATGTTATATAGTGAAAAGTGCCTTTGCTTCACTTTATTAACAGGGGAAATATTTTATAGTAAAGTTAATAAAAATATAAAACACACACGCGTGTCTCTGAGTATGCAGATACACTATGAAGTCCTAGATATACTGTTTAATGTGCATATAAAAAATTCAAAATATCTAAACGCAAAAAAACAAAACACTGTCCATTAACAAAGCACTTCAGTTAACACATTTTCCCTGGAGTCTGGACTCTGGACTTAGGCGTCATTGGGGTTATGTCCCTAATCTTTCAAATGACAGGTTTCTTTCCAGGCCCATATGTGTCTTTATGATCAAAAGTAACACGGTCATTAGCCTCTTAGCCCTGATCAATACATGTGCATGTGACTAATTCATAATGATGCATCTGTGGAGAGAAGGCACATGGAACACAGCTCAGGAGCCACATTCCTTGTGTGGGAAAATGTTGGAGCCCACTTTAAAAGAAAAATATGAAGGAGGGGACAGAAGAGAAGAGGGGCAAAGAGATGAAACTAACAAAGTAAGTAGTATCTGCCCGTCAATGTGGGCAGCCAACAATTCAGAAAGCAGTTGCGTTGTTTCATTAACAGGCAGGAAGTGTATCTCTACCGGCACATCTGCATTAACACCTACTCTGTCTTCAAGCCCACAGCACCCACATTTCCTGGGGCACAGCCCGAATTTATAGAGCGCGTACACCATCCAGGTAGGCCCTGCTCCCGGGATAGAGCAGAGATCAGAACGGCAAGATTCTGTCTGCAAAGCTCTGGCTTTTTGTAACAGACCAACACAGACAACAAACAGAAGGGCAGAGTTTTAGGTACTGTTAGAGTCATGTGTATATTTTCTCAGATGGTTAAAGCATCTGATGACCACCTTAAATAGAAAAAATAAAGACTGGACTGTATTTGTTGAATCGCCATTGTCATAGAGATTGAAGGTAATCTAATATTTTGATAAAGATGATACGTCCTAGACTATTAAGTAATATTAACTCTAAAAATAACGTTGGTCTAGATTGTGCTTAACATTCCCGCACTGAATTACTGGCTATTTCAGTTGTTTCAGATTACTGCAATCAGCTATACCGTTTGCTGCAATAAACAAATCCAATTGGTGAAGTGCATAATAAATAAGATTCAGCTGTGTGTATCAAAGAGGTCCTTGGTATTATATTGGATTCCTTAAATGGCTATTTTAATTTTTTTCCGGTTATTATGGAAATGTTTTATGCATTTACACACTGACGTGCAATTATAGTGGTTTTAAACAAATTCATCCCAGACAGCTAAAAATTGCAAGCCTGACATTTTCTAGAGAATAGTTCTTATATTTAATGGTAAGCCATTAACTTTGAGAAATAGCTTTAAGGTCAAGTTAATTATTTGCAAAGACTGAGGCATCAAAGAAACCTGGCAGAACACCCTAACGGGAAGTAAAATTGCTGGGGCCAGATGATTAGGAAATTTGAAAAGGAATCCATTGTGAAGCTCGGGGAATTAATGAGCCCAAATAAGTTACAGATTGGAGAAGCACTGTCGTTTATAAATATTTTGCAACACTCAAATACTGGTCACCATGGGGCACGGGCCATCATTTCTTTATGAAAATTAGGGAATTTCAGTTCAACAAACTTCCTCATCACCCACCTCAAGCTATTTAGGGTGGAAGACTCAGAATGGCAATTGTGGACTCTTTTCCTTCCTTTCTGATTTCCTGTGCGTTTGCTCCCGAGTGCCTTTGAAGCCAGGCCCAGGAGCTGTCTGGCGGGGGAGTTATTCCTAGGGCTACTGGATGCATCTGCAGCATCACCAGAGGGGAGGATGTGCGGAGGGCACTTTTCTCCTAATGCCAGTCTTGGTTAATTTGAAATTAGCCCCAAGCTAAATGAACCTTACGTTGGCGATATCAGCTGGACGAGACCTGGCCTGGTGTAGGGTAAGGAAAAATATCAGGCTTTCCTGCCTTCCCGCCATCAGGATAGATGAGGGAACCCTGTGATCCTGAATGCATGCCTGATGGCGGCACCTGGAGTGGGCACACCTGGGCTAAGACTGTGCTTTTAAGGGCGGCGTCACGGGATGCCAGGAGAAGCCCAAGCAGAAGCCGAAAGAGAAGCTGAGAAGCAGCAGAACGAACGCCAGAGAGCCCACATACAGTGAAGACTTGCTGGGGGCTGGGAGGCTGGCAGGCCCCCCAGCCAGCACCCCTGCCTGCCATATGCCTGGTGAACCCCAATAAAAGACCTGCAAAAAACCACTGAGGACTCTGACTCCTCCTTTACCGGGTCTGCATGGGATCAGAGAACCTGCCCTGTGTCCTGTCCTGCCCCTTACACCTGGCCAGAGCCTGCCCCTGCTTCCCTGGCACCTCCGCTGGGGTGAGGGCCCCGCGCTGGCGTCCGCCACGGTCACGGTCGGCGGTGTCCATGCACCCGGGCGCCCGCATGAGGTGACAAGGGCCGGGGTGCTGGCGCCCGCCCTTGCCCTGCCACCGCCTTGACGCCGCGCGTCTGGGCGCACTGGGGCCCCACTGGGCCGCGCGGAAAGTGCAGGATGGGGGGCTGCGCAGCGAAGGCAACAGGAGCCGCCTATCGGGGCTCGGGTCCACCCCCCTCACCAGGGCTCACACAGAGGAGTCCGAAGCTCAGGCCCCGGCCGGCCCTCTGGGGAGGGCATCACCACCGGGCGCTCGGCCGAGGGGAGCGCAGGGCGGCCTGTCCGGCGGGGCGCAGGAGGCGCGCCCGGGGCGCTGCAGACACGACGCTGGGACAGGCCTCGCGCGCAGGAGAAGCCCACGCACTGCCCAGGGCCTGTCTGTCTCCACGCGCTTCTCCCTGTCCTGGTTCTGCGCGCCCGAGCCCCGGGTCGGCCGTGCCCGCCGCAGCGCCAGGCGCTCACCCGCCGAGTAGCAGGAGTTGTTGGGCACCTCGGCGGGCATGTTCTGGATGCAGCGGAACAGCGTCACCAGGCTCAGCTCGTCCCCGAAGACGTGGACCTTCTTCCTCTGGATCAGGTGGCCCATGGCGAAGGTCTCGTCCGTGTACAGCACCTGCGCGAGCGGAGAGCCGGGTCAGGGGCGCGCGCCAGCCGGGGCCGCCGGCACAGCCGCCCCCGCACCCACCTGACCGTAAATGAAGAAGTAGCCGGTCTGCTTCACCAGGATCTTGTTCTCGCGCTCCTCCAGGGCCGTGCCGCGCTTGAAGCTGAGCAGCCAGGGCACGAAGGTGTACGGGCCTGGCGGGCGGAACCACGGGTCAGACGGGGGGCCGCTCCCCTTCGCCTCCCGCTTGCCCGAACCCCAAAACCACTTTCATCTCTTAAAAAGAAGAGGAAGGAAGATGCATCGCGCCCCTGCGCCGCTGGCTCTGGGGCGCGGACACGTGGCTCGTCGGGGATGCTCCGAGCAGAACCGGGCCGCTCCGGGCGGCACCGCGGCGCTGCCGGGCCGGGTCCCCGCGTCCGGCGCTGTCCATGTCGGGCCCGGTATTTCCCCCGAGCCTGACCCCTGGCTCCCCAGGCAGACAGTTACCAAATTAGCGCAAGGACTTTTAAACATAAAATAATCTAAAATGATGCTGTTGCTTGAAACAACATCGTTTTTAAACAATGATTTTTGCTCAAAAGCATTTTACTAACGAGCTACTATAATTCTGGGAACTCAAGCATCCTCCACCATGGAACTAGGATAGTCTCTGCAATTGAGGAAAAACACAAATTTCTAACACTGCCTGTGTATATGCTGGTAGAGATAAATCTTTACTGAAAAATGCCTTGGTAATATTTTAAATTAATTTCTTATTTTTTTATCCTATGACTGTACCTATAAAAATCGGTGAGCTAGTTCTTAGCTGCTATGTCAGAATAGGGAAAAAAGAGCGTTATTAGGCTTATATTCTTATTTTCTTTTGGATGTTGTTTTTTGGCATTTTGTCAGGTGAGCTGTAAATGTTCCTATTGAAGAGAGAGCACGTGTTTACTTGTTTTCAAGTAATCTGCACTTCCCCCTGTGTGTGTGTGCTCACACACACACACACACACACACACAACCCATACACAAGGTGCACATATGAGTTATATTCACATGTCCAAGGCTATGACTACTTAGATGTGAACCTAAATGCCATGAACATAGTTTGCCCTCAATAAATACATGCTGCTGAGTGAATTCAAAATTCTTTAAGAAAGCAGGCTAAATAATAAATTAGATGGTAAAGTGATCATAAACCAAAGCATACATTTTATGGCATGGTTCTACATCGTAAAACTTAGATTTTTAGCACACTAGTTAGACTGCAGATAAATGCCAACAAGAGAATGAGCAGTAAGTGCCTCTTCGGGGCAGTGTTTTTCTACACTAGCATTAGCTCGGCAGCAGGTGTTCAAGAATGTGGAAGTGAACTCCAGGAATATCAAGAATATCACTGCTTGCTTCTTTAGCCAATGGCTAAACTACAGAAATACCTTTATATATAAAACTTGACTATCAGTTCCACTCAGCTCTAAATACTTGATAGATTTAAATGTTGTTGAAAACTGAAATATGATGTGCCCATTAGTAAGCAAAATTAAATTAAAAGGTCAGTATTAATATGTGAAGATAATTGGCATGTACTTCTTAAGATATCTTAATGAGTAACTCTTTCCTGTTCTGACATGGTCAAGAATTCTCAACAAAAGACTAGCAAATCACACTCAGGTGAACACTTAATGGCTCACACACTATGATCAGGTGATTTTTTTATCAACAGATGCAAGGATGGATAAATATAAACAAATCAACAAGTGCCTGTATCACACTTAACAAATGAAAAAATATATGATCATTTCAATTGATGCAGTAAAAGCATTGCCAAAGATCAACGTTCTTTCAAGATAAAGATTATCAATAAGTTAGGTACAGAAGAAATTTGCCTCAACATAGCAAAGGTCTATATGACACACCCACAGCTGCTAATATACTCAACAGTGAAAAGTGAAAAGCGAAATGCGTTTCCTCTAAGATCAGGAACAAGCCAAGGAGCTCCACTTTTGCTATTTCTATCCAGGCAGAGCAATCAGGCAGGGAAAGGAAATAAAAGCATCTACATTAGAAAGGAAAATGTAAAATGATCTCAGTTTACGAAGGACCCAGCCTTATATATAGAAAACCCTATGGTTCTTCATGCAAATAAACAACAAATTCAGCAAAGCTTCAAGATATAAAATCGGCACACAAAAATCAGTTGTGCTTCTATCCAGTCACAATGAACAATATGGAAAGGAAATTAAGAATACAATCCTATGCAGCATAGCATAGAAAGACCATTAAGTACTTAGAGATAAGCTTAACCAAACTGATGAGCGATCTGTACATGGAAAACTATTAAATGTTAATGAAAGAAACTGAATAAGACACAAATGAGTGGAAAGACATCTACCCACATTATGTAAAACAACCTATAGATCCAATGCAATCTCTATTCCAAAATTCCAATGAAATTTTTCACAAAATCAAAAAAAAAATCCTAAAATTTTATATAGAATCGCAAAATACTCTGAATGACCAAAGAAATCTTGAGCAAAAGCAAAGTTGTCGTTCCATGATTTCAAAATTTACTACAATGCTATGGAGTCAAAACAGTATGGTACTGGCCTAGCGGCGAACAGACCAAAGGAACAGAACAGAACGCCCAGAAATAAACTTGTGCAACAACACAGATAAGCCTGGAAGATATTATGTTAAGTGAAATAAGCCAGTCACAGAAAGACAATTACCACATGATCTGTCTTCTCTGTGGAATCTAAAAAGGTCCTGTTCTGAGAAGTGACACTGGTTACCAGGGGCTGAGAACGGGAAGAAATGGGGAGATGCTGGTGAGAGGCAGTGCTTGCAGCAGACATCAGTAGCATAGTAGAGAAGAAAAAAAAAAAAGACTCAAAAACTGGAATATGTTAAGGTCAACATCCTCAAACAGGGGGAAAATATGAACTGTCCAGAAATGTGTTGGTTTCTAAAAATAATTGTGTGGAGGAAAAATTTAAGTTGCATAGCTCACATTTTTTTATCAAGATAAACTGAAGTTAGACAAAATATTTAAATGTAAAATTAAGCTGTGAAATGAAGCCATTAAATTGGGATAGAGAGCATTTCTAGAAAACTCTGAAATTTAGAGTCTTTTGTAATCATACCTCAAAATCCAGAAGATTAAAAACATTAATAGAACTTAACAACAACAAGTAAAGCTTAAACAAAATTACAAAGACAGCTGACAGCATGGGAGGAGGGGATGCTTTCAATTCAGCGTGGATTCATCTGCTTGCCACGTGAAGAGTGCATAGAAATTAATTTGAAATTGAACAAAAGTCCAACAGAAAGCTGGGAAGAATCTGAACAGCAAGCTCACAGGAAAGGAAACAGAAAAGAAAAACACAGAATTTAAAGATAATTATCAGCAATACAAAAAGCATTCTTAAAATATACAAGATGGTCCGTATAGTTCATATTTGAAGAAAAGCAAATTGAGATGTACTGTTTTCCACCTGCTATTGTTTTGCTGCCACTGAGACCAGAACATTTAAAAACCCCATTGAGTGATGAGACAATAACCATCAAAATTCAAAATCTCTCCTATGTGTGGTGACCCGTGTGGAACGAAGACTGTACAGCTATTCTTTGCAACTCTGTCAGAGCTGAGTCTGCTCACAGGGAGCTGGTTAAATAAATTATGCTATATTCACCCCATAGAACACTAGGCAACCTTTTTCAAAAAAACAAGGAACTCTGTTCAGATATCAAAATAACGACAATATGCATTGCTAAGTGAGAAAAGCTTATGATAGTGTACCCAAATAACATCCACATGAGTATGGCACATCTTCTGTCAGGAAGAGGGAAGCCAGGGTACATTCTCATTTGGGTTTACAGCAAGTGTTGAAGGCCACACATGAAGTGATGACTTGGTGGGTGAGGCTGGGTGGGGACGGGCTGGAAGGGGAGCAACAGTTTTGAATTCACCCTTAATGGGCTTGTTAAATTTATTTGCAAAACGTACGTGTACCACCTATTCAAAAATGAAATTAAAATTCCAAACAGAGAAATAAATAGGAGAGACATGATTTTTCACCCTGCCAGGCTCTGCTGCATTTCATTTGTGGAGGCTGCCTTTGCCCTCCCTGCCTTTGCGGGAGAAAAGCATGAGAGAGACCCGATGCGAACAGCCCTTCTCCTCCGAATGTCCATGAATTTCATCTCCAGACTTGACGTGACATATCTTTCTCCAGAAGGTTTCTTATGGACTTCTGTAAGCAAGCTTAACAAAATGAAGTCTAGCTCTGCCCTCCCCCTACAATTCATGTGCACCGACATTCAGGAGTTGTGCCAGGCTAATCCCTGGTCCGAGTTCACAAACCCAGAGAAACACCCTCGGGGGCAGAGAGAGCTGGCCCCACGGGATCACCCCCTCTGTGCACTTCACACTCAGTGGAGTAGCAGATGCATCCTTTTGTGTGAAGTACTATGTCTTTGTTTTTGGCAAAATGTATCAAACAAAGCTTTTCCAAGTTATGTATCTTTTTAATTTAATTTTTGGAGCTTAGGGATTTTTTTTTGGCTTAGTTTAATTCTTAGGAAAGAGTTTGCTGCCTATTAAAAGTTGTAAAAACATGACTTTGGAAGAACAGAGCAATAAATAACAGATTTCAAGTCATTTAATGTTCATGTTACAGTTAGCAACACTAAATCACACTGAAAATTATAGCTGCAAGACAGCTCCCCAGGGTCACTGCCAAGCTGCATCCAACACCATTATCTGGACTCCTGGACCCCCGCTCCTGGCCTCTCTGCGCATCTCAGCTCCCTTCTTGTTCCCAGCACCACATTCTCCCCTCCGCCTGCTTTATTCCTTTCCCATAGTGTTTAATTGTATCATTTTCTACTTTGCTTGTCCATTGGGGGTTTATTGCTGGCCTGTGTTCCCCTCATCAAAAGGTAAGTTCCCTGAAAGTGTGAACCACACAGATTTTCTTCACTGCTGAGGGACAGTGCTGGGCAGGAGCTGGGACACTGCCTGCTTGCAGCCAGCCTGTGTATAAAGGAACCATTTGAAACTAGAATTGATCATAGAAATGCCACGTTCATTTATTTGTCTGTGCCATACATTAAGTCATGAATATTTGTGCTATTTTAATATCATGTTTAGGCTATAAAACGTTCAGTTTTACTCTTCATTCAGTCATTTCTACAACCTAATGAAACAGGAGAATTCATATTTGTGAAGATCATCTTGAGTCATTGCATAAGTGAAAAAGATTTCTAAATGATAATAAATAAATCAAATTTGGCTTAATGTTGATTTTGCGTTATCATCTGCTGATTAGCTAACATTGCTAAACATTGGTGTTGCTAAGGTAATTCTGTTGGCTAGAATGTTACATTTGCCCCAATTGTTTTGAATCCATTTAAATTTATTGTGTTACATCATTTTACAAGACATTTTAGGGCAGATAATTGATCTGAAGTCAAGTTTGAATATAATTTATGGACTTGAAACTTAGAAGTGATGGAACTTACTGAATTCGAAGTGGAAAAATTACTGGGGCAGGCAGTTTTTTTTATTTTTTAATTTTGTACATTTTAAAAGGGCAGGTGTATTAGGAAAAGCAGAAGGAAAAAGAGGCACCTGAACAGTCACAGGTGGGCAGGAGAGCTGCCTGCGGGGCTGTCATTACCTTTACGAATAGCAGGCGTGCCGCTGTCTGCGATCAGTTGCAAGCAGTCTTGGATGACTGAAAAGCAAAAATATATCTTTTTAGCTACTTGAATAGAATTAATAAGGATATGAAGGTGACTGAGAATATAGAGCTACAAATCCATACTTCCTGAAACAATGAGTCAATTACACTTGCAACATGGCTTGCATTTTGCCCCTAAAATTACTTTCTGATCTTGCCTAAGATTTTTAATATAACTTCAGCTTAAACCATAACATGTTTTAGCAAAGCTGTATGCTGCAGAGATGCAGTAACAGATCACCTCTGCATGCCACCTGACTGGCTTTCAAAAGTGTTGCCTGCAGAAAAAGCAAGTTCGTTTATTGCCACTTGTTTTTCAAGTTTTCAAGGACATGGACAGTCAAATCATATCATTCTAAAAAAGATTCTCTGCTAAAAGCTGACATTAAATAATGGTTCACTGGACTGAAAATACTGCTATCAACATCACTGGGCATAAAGAGATAATTGCTATGTTTATGGAGCAGATATAAATGCGGGTGATGTCACAAATCCTAAATATTACATACTGGAGACTAAGTCTTGAAAGATACAGATCCTAAGAGGAAGCAATTGACCGGCCAGAATTGAATCCATGTCCGCGGTGCTCTGGAGCCAAAGGCAGGCTTTTGGACAAATATTTTGGACCAAAATAAGGAGAGAAATATCTTTTAAAAAAATAATAAAAGGAAAGATTTCCCCAAGATTGCATAATCAGTAAAACTTCTGGGAAACATCAATTCATGCCACACATTACATGTAGATTGCTCCAGAGAATATTCAAGCCAATAAATAACTATTTGACTTAATAAAGAGAAATGCCTTCAGGTAAGAGCAAAATAAACGCACCCTGTGTAGGAAAAGCAAGGAAAGCAGCAGGAACCTGTGGCAGAGAAGGCCACACACGTGAGTGCTCTGTAAATCACCAAAATGCTAGTTTAGCTGTTCTATTCCCTACAAGGTATTTCATTCAGAGCTGAAATAACACTGTAAAAGGACACTTCTCTCAAGGCGTGGTATCGCCACACGGTGAAATACTATTCAACCACAGGAACCATGGAACGTTACCATTTCTCACCAGATGGAAAGAGCACGGGGGGCCACGTGGACCAGGGTAAGGCAGAGCCACAAAGGCAAATACTGGATCTTTTCACATATGCGAGTAAAATACAAAATCAAAGTGGATGAATGGATAAAGCAAAATAGTTATAAACTAGCAGGCATTAATGCCCAAGAGAGCTTTCTGGGGTTCAGAGAGAGGTGGAGGGAGAAGAGGTCAAAGGTAGGTGGGGGAGAAAGGAAAAGCAGGATGTGTACTGCAGAGGGACAGTTTCACTGTTACAAAAAGAAACAAGAAGATTATACTCACTTCTAGGAGACAGTATTAGATAATATATTTACGACCCCGGGTAAACAGAAGAGTAAAATCATGAAAAGACAGGGCTGATCAAGGAGACGACAATTACATCTAATCTAACATAAAAGATCATGAAAGAGAGGCTCATAAATTGGGGTACTTTGCAGTGAGTAAAATAAAAACACACTTGTCCTTGCAGGCGGTGACGAGCTGGCCGCGGTGCCGGAGTTCTGCTTCAGTTGATTAACTGAAATTTTCTATTACTTAGCGCTTGGGATAACAGATGTAAGAATTACATCCTGAGGTGGTACAGGCACAGTGACCTAAAAAGATTGTTGTCAGTGGAGTGACTGCTAAGAAAGCCTGTGAAGGAATTTCCCTGGTGACTCCGGGGTAGAAATGGAGCCCTAGAGGCTGCGTTTCCTATGTAGGCCGCAGCTTCTCTGACCCATCTTTACCCTGGTGCAGTCTCTAAAGCCCAGAGTCCCCTCTGGCTGACTGTCAAACAATGCAGCGCTGTCCGTGCCGCAGGAGGGGGCAATGCGGCGGTGCAGACGTTACGGGAACAGGGCACAGCATCCCAGTGGGCAGAGGCGTCGTGAGAGGACGGCCGGAGAGAGCCTTGACGGGGCACCTGGACAGCTCACGGTGGAAGGAGCAGCAGCGGCAGGAGTCGGATCCAGCTAGTTTAGGGGAGTCCTGTTCTTCCCGCCACACCGGGAGGAGCCGTGCCCAGGGCCCGCTCACAGAGGAGGAAGAGGGTGCTGATGAAAGCCGCATTCCTCTGGCGCCACGTGTGCACACGTGGATCAGCAAAGATGGGATAAGGCATTTGAAACATTTCATACTTTTTTTTTAAGATTTATTTATTTATGCATATAAGAGCTGGGGTACAGGCCAGAGATGCGGGGGGTGAGAGGATTCACCAGAGACAGTGGGGAACGGAACAGGTAGACTGACTGAAATCCACTGCTGAGGGGAGCAGCGGGGAGACAGGCGAGGTCTGCCGCACCATGTGGGTTTCTCCCTGGCCGGCCTGCTGGGATCGAACCCGTGCTGCAGAGGCTGCAGACGGCTTCACAGCGCTGCGCTCAACCCTCTGCGTGGAAACATTTCATATTAAACCTGGTACATAAAATACCACAATCTCAATTGTTTTTCTTTTTTTTTTTTTAAGATTGATTTATTTATTTATACCAGCACTGGGCACAGTCAGAAGCGTGGGAGGGTGAGAAAATTCACCAGAGCCAGAGCGGGGAGCAGAGCAGGCAGAAGGACCGAAGGACACTGCTGAGGGGAGCAGCGGGCGGCAGGAGAGGTCTGCGCGCCATGCGGGACCCTCCTCTGGTGGCCGGGGAGCAGCCGGGGATGGAACCCGTGCTGCAGAGGCTGCGGGCAGCTTCGCAACCCAGCGCTCAACCGCTGCGCCACCGGGGAGGCCCCAATCTCGATTGTTATTGGTGGCAGTGCTCTCATGCTTATCTCTACATAGCAGTGAACAGACACCCGGACGTAGGCAGATACTGGGGGCTGTGCCAGCCTGAGGGCACATCCGTCGCCAGGAGGCCAAAGAAAGCCCCAGTTAGTCCTGTTCACTTCCCCTGACTGTTTCCCCAAAGGTCCTGGAGGAGACTGACACTCAGGGGCACACCACCGGAGGCCTCAGCACTCACTCGCCCGAAAATGCCTGGAATTTACCCTCTGCCCTCCGCTGGCCTTGGCCACAGCCTGAGCCCCGGAGACTGAGGGTCTGTTCTGTCATGCAGGGGAATTCGAGCTTCAGGAAGACCTGCTCTGGAAAGTTCGTTTCTCCAAATGCTCTTCAGAAAAGAAAAGCGGCTGTGCACCCCGCCTTCTGCTTATTCCAGAGACCGTCACCCAACTTTCCTGGGAGTTGCGGGAACCAGGCAGCGCGTGGGTACACCTGCCCCCCACACTGCGCGCCCCTGCAGGGAGCTCCCCCGGTGCTCACTGCTCCCCTGGCGGCCTCCAGCCCCGCCTGTTCCCCACAGAGATGGCTGTAGGCTATGCACGGTCGCTCAGCTAAAAGATCACCCCCTAAGAGTGGCCCGGAGGGGCCGCCCGAGAGCAGGAGACCCCATTACAAGAGTTTGAGGAGGCAGAGCCACATGTCAGAGCCGCGGAACTGGTGACAACTGGTGACAGTTGGTGACAACTGGGTGTTGGTTTTCAGGCGCTCAGGCATCTCTCTACCTTTGAGATTAACTATACAGGAGGTTAGAAAAAGTCACTTACTCTATACCTTGTGTAAAATATTTGGAAAAGCGAGGTGGGGCACTGATAACACAAGCAGTTCACCGAAGAGAATTGCTAAAATAAGAACTTTTAAGACAAGACAGTTTTCTGTTGCTCAATAGTTGATATAATAAAAATCCAAGCAACGTCACAGTTAGAACAGCACGTAAGTGCTTTCCGTATGGAAGCATCTCAAGCTGCAGGCGCGTAACATTCAAACTCCATTTAACCAGGAAAAGTGCCTGGAAAGGATTCGGGGCTGTTGGTGTCGTCGTTTTGTTTTTCTTGAATGAGTTTTGAATAATAAGCAGTGGCTGGAAAGGGGCAGTGAGGAGAAATACCTCAAAGATCTAAATATTGACCTAACCCTGGACAGAGAATTGTGAAAAAGTTGGAGAAGTCGCGGCTGACCCGTCCCCGGTGCCACACGAGGAGGGAAACAGGGCGCGGTGGGGAGCAGCTGTCCTGGGCGGGCCGCTAAGGAGGCTGTAGGAATTAAGAACTTTTTTTTAAGTGAACTAGATTGAGAAGTTTGCATTTGACCCAAAAAGTCGGCCGGACGCCCGCCTGTGCCCAGAGCGAGCGCAGGATGCCAGCGCAGCGCCCGGGACGAAGGCGAGGCACTCGTGAGTTTCCGGCCAGGGACCAGGTGAATGGGAAGATGAGGAAACTCTAATGACCAGTCTCTGATTCTGGGAGTTCAGGAAAAGGGGAGCCCGGGGACTCGGCCAGGGGCGTGGCTCCTGGAGGACGTGGCAAGGAGATGATACCATAAATGGAAATCTTTGCAAATATTTTAAGAATTTCAAAAAGAAATGGCCCAGCTGGACAAGCGCTGGGATTGAAGGGCCGCGAGGCTGCGGCGTGTCCATCGCGCCAGGCCGGCAGGTGCACCCGCGCGCCCCGCGCAGGCCTGGCAGCACCAGAGGACACCCCAGAAGACGCCACCCTCCCCCGCGCTTCCTTTTCCAGCTGATCAGACATGTCAGTGCCTCCTCGCTCACCTTACAGTTGCCGGCAAGTCCACGGGGCGCGCTGGCCTCCGCCCGGCCCTGACTTCCTTCGAGTCACTTCCCTTGAAAGGCGCGGGGGGCGGCGGCGCACCCAGAAGGCCCTGGCCCCGGCCACCCGCTGCCCCAGCAGGTGCCCCCGCCGCGAGGCTTCCAGCTGCCCCCTGACGTCTCCACCCAGGCCGGCGACACCCTGGGCCCCGCCAGCCCCAAACTCTCTTCTGTCCTCACACCCTCACTTCACACTCCTTGGTTTTCTCTTGGCGCACACACAACTCTACCTCTGAGCTGTTCAAGCCAGAACCTTCTGTAAGTTGATTTCTTCCGATTGTCTGATTTCTTTTTCCCCAACGAATAATCTCGTAATCAAGTTCTAAGGGCTTGAGTTTGTA